TGGGAAACCTTTGGCTGAGGAGCAAGCTTCTCAGGAGGGGAGCGAAAGTCAGGAAAAAACTTCATTCAGAACGAAAACACTAAAAAAAAATTTTTAACGTGCTCCAGATTTTTCTAACTCAGTGACACCAACTGTGCCTTTTACGATTTTTTTTTTTTGTCTACCCTTCTATTTATTCTTTTCAGAAGATGTTTGCTTGCTGAAGAGTTTGCATACCAACCAACCAGACAAACAACCTGTCCATTTCAAACTCTGTTCAGGTTTGTATGTTGTTGTTTTTCAAACCCAACCAGATTACGATGAGCATTATATACGCTAGCTTCACTTACCATCATAGCACATCAAAACTGCTTGCTACAAAAACTTGAAAAGCGTATTTATTGTCTCCTGCTGGTACAGGCAATTTCTATTACCTCTCAGGGTTAAAGAAACAAACAAAGCAAAACCACACACCCTTAAATGAAGCAGCAAACAAAAAAAAAATGCATGCAGATGTAATTTAAAACAAAATAAGGGCAATCTGATGGAGCACCGCTGGCTCCCTACTCGTCTCTCCTCTCTCTGTCCCCTCCCTTCGTGTCTTCATATCGTTCCTGTAAGATCCGTGTTTCTCAAAGACGGAGGAGTACTGAGGGTAGATTCCCTGAGAGGGAAGAGCACAGAGGAGAGAAGGGAAAAAAAAAAATCCCAGCACATGGTTTCGCCACTACTCTGCTGAATCACCAGGGAGCAGATTCCCAGATGGCGTACGCTGGTAAGTACCGCACAAGTCAATGGAGCTATGTCAAACGATACCACTCGACTGCATTATCTGGTGAGCTCCGTGTAAACAAACAGGAGCAGATTCCGAATATTTGTGAGAATACATCATGTTACTGTCTCCATATGTTTAAACATTTTAGTGGAAGGTACATATGGACCGCTCTTCCCACTCACTGTCATTCTCTCCCTCCTGTTCCCCATTCCCCACATACACTGCAGCTTTTCAGGCCACCGTCAAACCAATTCAGAAAGGAATAAGGATACATTTTCATTGAAAACATTTTGTGCTCAGTTGCCATCTGCTTCTTTATCAGCCTCCAAATCCTCACATGCCTTTTCTGTGGTCTTTGGTTTCACACATTTGGAAGCCTCGCGTTTTTGGCCATTGTGTTTTGCAGCGCAGCCTACGTGAGCTATTGTTTTTCACGTCAAATTCACCTCTTAAAACATGCGCTTATGCTTATGACCCTAATTCTCTTGACAACATCGATTTAAATGTGTTTTTTTTTTCTTTATGCCAGTGCCAAATTAATTCTAAAGATCCCTCATGTGCTTCAGATACTCACTTTCATTGTTTTTATGGAAAACGTGCTTATTCTGTCCCCAGAAGCTTCAGCCGAAGCCGTTACGCCTTCGCGGCAGGGGGTAGCAGTCTGTCCTCCCCTGCCTCGCCAGAGCCCTTGTTCTTCTTTTACCAGGGTAGCAAAGGATGATTTTCAGCTAATACTTGATGGAGAGTTTCTCCAACTTAATTGGGGGGTGGATGTAAAGTGGGTGAATAATTAAGATGCAGCGCAAAAAGAAAAAACACACACATGTACTCCACAGATCGTATATGTGGATCTCTGCTAGTTTTGCCATTGCTCTCTTACAGACAGTTTGCCAACTTCATTTCTCATCGCCTCTGCAAGTGCAAAAAGCTCCTTAGGAGGTGTTAGCTGGACTCATTCAGAAAACCGAACACAAAGATTACGGTAGACAAGGGATCCTAAACTTCCAGGCAGGCTTTCACAACTGTAATTTACATTTGGTTTATGCACAGACCTAGCGACCAAAGCAGCAAACCTCCAAATTTAGTCATCAACGGAAGAATATGGAAAACAATGGAAGTCTGCTTTACAGTAGGTCAATGGACAGGCGAAGCAAGCGTGTCACCAGTGACTGCTCTTTCAAGGGGCACAGCGGGAAGGGTTTTTCTGGTTCTCACATCAATCGCTGAGTAAGATGCAGGCAGCTTCCAGAAGTGTTTCCAGCAGTCACAACTGCCAGAAGGAGGCAAAAAAAAAAAAGAGAGGCTATCATCTTATTTGTGTGTCTGAACACTAAGTTTTTACCTTTTCCATCTCTACCTGTGCCCCGAAGTCCAACCATTCATGGAAACAACTTCAGAAATCTCCTTTTATCTTGAAAGAGGTTTTTATGTGGACCTGCAACCAAACTGAATGAAGCACGGCTGACATTTGATATGCCAGAAGAGAAGTAGGTGCAAGTCAGAGAGATGATAGCATGCCAAACCCAACAGAGCATGCCGCGGCTCCAAAGTGAGCGAACTAGTAAGGCTGCTGCCTTGGGGCACTCAAAGGTAAAGGAATGTATACTACACAGAAACCAGGGCAACAAAACTGGCAGAGACACTGCCGACACTTTATGCTGAACCTTTACAAAAAAATTTTTAAAGTTACAGCTTCTTTGTAGCTTGTTCAACTATAGAAACGTCAATGGATTATTCTAAGTCAAACACAGCATATCCTTCCCTCTCTCCTCCCCTCCACCCTCAACATTGTTCCTGCACGAGTTATATTGAAGGAAGCACAAGGTTTTTCCTTTGTTTGTGAGCAAGAAAGAGAAGGAAAAAAACAACTTCCATTCAATGGCAAGACTAAACAGAAGCCAGGCTACTTGAAAGTACTAAGTGTTCCCACACAACGTTTTACCCACCAACTTGAGATCTTTCAGCGTAAAACCTACCCAAGGACAAAAGAGATTTAATATACCCTCCTCCACAGATCCAGAACAAAGAAAAATAAAAAGGCATAAATGAACCCTGAGTGACAGACAGCATTTTCAGTTCAACATTACTGTGACGCACAAGGAGAATGTCAGGGTTAAATTAGATACTACACTAGAAAAATATTCCCTGGAAAATAACATGGGTCTCCTGTCTTTACTGGTAGGAAAACGCAGATTAAAAACACCCAGTCACTTGAAGTCCTTGCTTCTATTCTTTTTCATGTCCTTGTGTAGTTTCGTACAGTGTATCCTCTCCAGGCCAGGAGTTCATTGCCAATGCGTTCAAGCAATCTAGCACAACAGACAGAAAGCTTCCTTTTCAACCACTGGACATTTACACCTCCCTTGTTTTTCTTCAGAAAGGGAACACTTTGGCGTTGTCTCTTTTTTTGTTGTTTGTTTTTCTTCAAAACAAATGGCTGGCAAATTAAAAGCCTTCCTCATGAAGTCAGTGGCTTATCGGGACTAGCAGATTAAATAGGCCCAACCTTCTCACTCTTTATTTAATAGAACTTGGCGATTCTTGTTATGCTATGCAACCTAAGATACTCTAAACCCACATTGTTTTCCACAGCGTAATACTCTTAACAAGCCTTTTAAGGCTCTTTTTCAATACTTTCTTTCTTCTTCGTGATCTCCCACAAAAGGAAGATGAAAGCATATAGGAAAAGAAAAACATTACTTACATCTCTGCTTTAAAAGCGCTGCCATCACAGTATAACTATGACCTCATCTTATCTAAACACATCTCTTCTCATGTGCATTTGGGATCCAAATTATGTTAACATTCCCCTAGAAGTCAACAGGCTTTTCTTGCACATTACTTTTGTCTACTCCAAACAGCCAGAGCACAGAGCAGAAAGCGAGTTGTTGTATCCCATTAAAAACACTACTTATACCCATTCAAATCACTGAAGGCAACGAGGTTGGCACAGGAATCACCTCGGTCACCCTCTGCAGACAACCAAGCTGCACTCTTAATGAGGACATAAATTCGGCTTGCTGAAGCCTAATGACTCACGGCAACACAAAGTAAGAAAGCAGAGCAGCTCACTTCCCTCACCTCCGACAAGTCACACAGTCTTCCAGTAAGAGGCTGAGGGGCTTTCTTCTCTTTATTTAAACACTGACTTTATTTCCTGGAAGAACTATTGATAAAATCATAGCCCCACAAATGCCTTTTCACAGAGACGTTTTTGGCATGTGGTCACTGAAACTGCCCTACAAGGTGCTTTAATTTCACTTCTAATTGAACGTGAGGGCTTCATAAGCACCTGATGACCTACTTAAGACATAAACACACAATCAGCTCTCCCAAAGGACAGTAACCTGAACAGCCCTGTTTCTGTTTTCTCTCACACAGGGGTGTTTCCTACCATCTAGTGTGGTAGTCAAGACTGCCCATGGAATTTAGGAACTGTTCCTCCCAGTGACGACTGCTTGTAATTAAGCCCCACTGATACTGCAGGGCTCAGCTTTCATAAAGTTACAGGATGAACTCAAAAAGCCTGCCATGTAATCATGTTATCTGAGTAAACTATGTATTTGTTTACTCTATTTTTAAAAAGTGAGAAGAGATCAGGTTTTGTTTTTGCTAATGATTGCTATCAGAAAAACACGAACTCTGTCATACCAGGTAAGAACAAAAACAGGCAAGGATAACTTCGCCGAGAGTCAAGATACCCACTGACTCTTTAACACTGCACACTGTACTGTAACAAAAATGCTTTAAGTAAAAAAAAAAAAAAAATATCTTAGGTACAGAATTTGTCATCACAGAAACTTCTGAAGGTGCATGCCAAGGGAGGCAAAGAACAAAGTCAAAGTGAGTTCAGTAAACAGCTTCAGCGCGGCAGCGACCGGGGCACACGTAACATCACTTCAGCGAGGAGGAGGACATGGAGCTCAAAAGCCACCTCCTGCTGAAGTCCTCAACCCAGCTGCACGTTAATTCTACACTTAAACACCTGGAAACTTTTTCATGGGGAAGTAATCCAGGAAGCTTGAGGGGTTTTGATACTTTTGGGTTGTTGTTTTTTCGATCAAGTGAGATGATCCTCTTCTAGCTGAGGAGGAAGGAATTTGTCTGTCTAGTTACTGGATAACTCGTCATGTGGACTACATACCAGAAGAAAAGTTTAAGTTACTAATGAGCTTAAAATAAAACCATAAAATTAAACCTCTGCTCCACAAAGAGGTAACAGAAACACAAGCTATTCAATTCTTACTTTTCTGGCAGTGGTTGGTGGTCCAGCAGCGGTAGTTGTACTCGTTGTTAATAGAGGTCTTCTCGCACAATGGCTTCTCTTCCATTGTTCCTGGACACAAGTCCCCACATTCCTTTGGAGGTTTATTCCCAACAATGTAGTTATTGGACACCGCATCTAGGATGAGAGACCAGTCCACCGTGGAGAGGTAACAGAGGTCAGAGTTCTTCTCAATCCGTATGGCCCCGCGGGTTATGTTCCTCAAATTGTGAAGCCCAATCTCTTTAAGATTTGTCATTTCAAAGATAACCAAGGCATAGTTGTAGAAAAGGTTCCTCCCACGAATAACTGTGAGGTTGGGGAAGAGATCGCTGAGGCTTTCCAAGCCTGCCACACGGAACAGCAGCAAATAGTCAGTTATGACAGTGAGCTTTGGGAAGCGGAAGTTGCGGTAATCCTCTGCTTTAGAGATGAGCAGAATTTGAAGGAAACCCTCAATTACCGTACAGTTCTCCAGACGTTTCAGCTCATGGATATCATTGCGAATGTCAACATTTGGCCCACAAACTGAAAGTGTAGAAGAAAACAGGAAAGTCAGTAAACAAAACATTTTTAAGGTTTGCAGAACTGTAATGCACATTCACTCTTTCCGTAGCCATAATTTTTTTCCCAACTTTATCAGGCTACCCTGTTAAAATAGGAACCAAGTAACTGGTTTACATATACACTGAGTATCTACTTCATTTAACCCACCACTATTAATGCTACCAGCAGCAGCACAGGGCCGCAAGCCACATCCTTCAGACGACAGAGGAACGTTGTGTGATTACTGCTGTTGAAAAGAGAGCTGCATTAGCTTGAGGGACATAAACTCCGTTCATCTGCACACCCTGCTTCAAATTACATCATGACACACGTGTGAGCAGGCCAGGGGCTCAGCCACATGACTCCCAAGAAGTTGATCAGCATAGACAATAATCCCCTGGTCGTTACATTACTGATTTACATCCCCTCTACACCACCTTGATACATGGACGTAAAGGTGAACGCTATCCAAAAGATTCCAACTTAAGACTTTTTGAATCACTCTTCCTTCACCGGGCCACAAGGAGAGCCAGCCCTAGTTCTCGAGGGCTTGCCTTGCGATGGCTTGATCAGCAACCCCACAAAGCCCACAGAAAGCTCCTCAGCACCTCCTGCACTGCAACTGGGAGGAAAAGAAAGTGCTCGGACCTGTAACTAATGCATGGAATTCCGCTTTGCATGTTCCAGCGAACCAAGCTGCACTCATTTTGGCACCAAGGCACAAAAAAAGTTTCTCAAGTTCTAAGAAACACGGGATCAATTTATTTACAAGAACACACAGCATCACAGCGAGGAATTTCCCTTGGAAACAACAGGCTGAACTCAATGCACTCGAGAAAACAATGGCCCAAGAGGACTGGTCCCTAATAAATCTGTTTATTAGGTCTTTCCATATTAGACAAGTACCACAATAATAATTTTAAAGGGGCTGGAAGAAAAGTACTAATAATACAATAATTAGACACAAAACACACTTTGATGTAAAACAAAGAACTATGGTGTGGAGAGAGCTGTTGTTCTTGGACTCCCTCAGACTTGGTCTTCCGTGGAAAACAAGGAATAAAGACTCCCCAGAGTAGATAATAAAGCTGCTTGTAAGCAAACAAAGTAAAATACCAATTTATTTGAGAAACCCAAAACTTAAATAAACTCCAAGCAATTAAATTTTGTGGAAAGGTTCTCTTCTTACACATGCTAGGCTTAATTATTTTAACAACATTTTTTTTCCTCAGACAAGAAATAAGTCCAAACATAAACTCTGGAGCCAAAAATATTAATTCTAACCCTGACAAACTCTCTAGAGATTCAGAAACCACTCTGACAATCAAAAGCAGTCCTGTCCCACAATTCTTATCTAAAGCTAATAACTTAAGCTAACAGAGGATCCAGGATGTGAACATGCTAAAACCATAGCAACTCTAACATCCAACAAGGACTTAATAATATCCGACAAGGACTTAAAAAACAGGTAGGACACCAAATGATTACTGGCAGATAATACACATTAGGGGCAAAATAAGAACCACGCTTCCGCGCTAGAGGGACAATGAAAAAAAAAAACTAACCACAATAGGACAGGATCTTTGCTAAGAAACAGATGTTTTCTAGGCAACTATTACCTAGTCTTCCTTCTATTATGTATTTTAATGGGAACTGCTGCACTAGAAGTAGCCACAACCAAGAACATTCATTGCCTAAACCTTAAAAACAAACAAGAAAATCCTAATGTACCACGCAAAACACTTGGCCTTCAGTCGCAGCGAGATAATAAGTTCCCCTTTTAGCATATAGTGAGTACAGAATTGCATACTACTGCCTGGAGTAGATGTGTCAAACCTTTAAGCTCAAGAAAATGACACCGAAACAAAACAAAAAAAAAAGAAAGGGTGAATGGGTTGGCCATACCCAGCTCTAAAAAGCCAGACGGAAGGGGAATGTGAAAGATACCCAAGACAGTAGCTCTGGTAATAGATAGTCACATGAGGCAACAATGTGGGCTTCCCATCTCCCAGATCTGTAGTGAACACAACCGTGACCTGGATGAAATTGCTTTTGCAAGCTGGGATCCAAGCCTTGCTTTCAGCTTCTGAAACTTTCTTCAGAAAGACCCATCCTCCCACCCATCCTCAAGAGACCGTGCCCTCTGCCCGAAGCACAGCTCAACAATAATATCAGCAAGTTTACGTTTGGACATCAGGCTTCTCCTTCCTTTAGGAGGGAAAAAGAAAAAAAAAAAAAGTTAAAATAGAGCGTTTCTCCAATTAAACTGTTTTGGTTTCTGACTCTACCTGTTGGCAGGACAAGGTGAACAGAATGGTTCCTGTTATGGCAAAGCAAAAGTAGCAAAATTTATTTTACTGCCATAAAATTTTAGAAAGCTTAGCTGCTCCAAGCCCTTTATTTTGTTATAGAAATAAAATTTGCACTTGCGCTGACATTTTGCAGGCAAGGTTCCAGAGTGATGGGTTTAAAAACAGCTGAGTTACAATACCCTAAAGAACAATTTGTAAGAGAAATGGCAGCAACCGTTAACTAAAGCATTATATATCTGTCCATGCATCTATTCCGAGGCTGGGTTTTCTAAGGCATATTGGTTTTAGCTTTATGTTTGTTTCAGCTTGAAAGTTACTTAATTTTAGATATTTAATGCTTTTATAAATCAATGAGATTCCTAGAACTTTATGGAAAAAGTATGCACTCACTTGCCTCAATTATGAAACATCATCCCCTTAATACTGAAAGGATGAAGTCCAGGGGGCTCGAATGTTAGCAATGGCTTACAGATGAGCATGCTGCTGACATTTGTGATTTAAGAACTTATTAGTCTATCTAGCAAATTGTGTTTTGAGAACTTGATGCATATAATGAGAACTGCAGAGACCTAAACGTGAAGTAGGACAAGCACCTTGGCCCATACTGACATTTGGAAAAAACAGTTCCAACTAAAGCAGCATTGGGTTGTTTGTTTTTTTAAAATTCTTTCAAAGTTTACACTGTTCACAAAAGTTAATTATACCACAATGCATCATCTTTTTCTCACGTTTTTCTCCCTGCCCTGAAAGGGATTATATGAAAAACAAATTAATCAGAGCTCAAAGTCTACTACAATTTCCATTTGGCAGTGCTGTGTTTTCTTTGGATCCCATTTTAGAGAAAGAGTATGCAGACTTACAATATAAACTGACCTGTCAGACTGAAAAGCACATAAAATGCTCTTTAGAGTATTTATTTTCCATCTAAGAGTTTTCAATATTCCTGCTTATATTGTTTTTTTTAAATATGACCAGTGTAACTCATCTTTGCTTTGTGTTCTGTTCCCAACTGGAAATTCACTATTATGTATTTATTTTGCTCACTAACAGCAAAATAAAAACGCAGTATCTGTTTTTACCCTGCCGTGAGTCTCAGGTAGGTTATCAGCTCCGGGATAACGGCCACATTAGATTTATGCTGTTCTCATTCAGCTGCTTGCAGACTTCCCAGCCTTTCCGTGAACTACCTACCTTGTCTCAGATTTATTCTAAACCAAACCTAATTCTAAGTGGGAGATTACTTCTTTAAATAAGTATTTATGTATTTGTTTAAAAGATAACCTCCAAAATACAATAGAACAATGAAGAGAAGCAATATATCCTTTACCAGATGAACACAAACACCTCTCTGGAATAAGGCTTTAGCCCAGAAGTACCCACCTGCACCTACCACACAACTTGGGTTCCTTTTTTCTCAGGGACAAACTGCATGGAAATTTCCAAAGGTAGCACAGAAACCTGCTTCGAGCTGCAGTCCTTCTGAGGAGCTGCAGCCCGTTCCTAGTCACAGGACAAATCTACACCTGATGATGAAACCAAAGAGGGCCAATGAAGAGCTCAACCTAGCAGTTTCTTTTCAACCTCTACTACGGCTTGCTAACATTCATTTTGATCAGACCTACATTTTGACCTGGACAACAGCCTCGTCACCTTGAGGAACACGTGGTATTTAATCCTCACCCACCACCGAAGAACCATGTGCTCCATCCATGGCTTTGCTCTTCTTACACCTCCGCTCCTTATTGCGCATCAACCACTCCGGGAAGCACTCGCCTGCTGCCCCGCAGCAGTTCGGAGGAACCACTTTTTTTCTAAAACAGCACGCTACGAAAGACAAATCAACACAAAGCCTGCTGCAACTCCTGCCTGCTACAGCATCTTCTGTCACAGCCCTACACATACTGACAGCAACTGATCTGTTACTGACACAGAGGTGTCAGAGGCAGGACCCCCAGCTCACAGGTATTCGCTGTAAGGGTCTGTTTCCTAGGAAAAAAACTGCAAACATTTCATCATGGTGTAGTTCTTTGAATCAAAGACGAGCTCTTGCTTCCAGATTTGATATTGCTCCAGGTTACTCCATTTAAGAGTTCTAAATAAACAAGTTTTTTAAAGCTTTTTCTTCGTGAAGAAGAAAAAAACAAAACCCACTTTACTTCACATTTTAGGCCTTGCCTTGGGCCTGTTTCTTAGGGCAAAGCTGGAAGCCTGTACTACCCAACAAACAACCATCCCCACACAGCTCATCACCAGACCAGGACCGGCCAAGGCAGCACCCCAACCCTACAGCGAGCCGACAGGCCCTGCAGCCTGAGCCACTCTAGCTGGGTCAGGCCTTCACAGTGCCCACCTGTATGGCCACACTCGCTTCTGACAGGAGAATCAGGACACCTACCCTTAACATCTGCCTTCTGACCCCGAGATGAGCTCCTGCTCACCTTTCTCCTGTTCTGTGTGCCCATGGTGTGCTAGCAAAGCAAGCTGTGTACTGCTGTTTTGCCTCTTTGTGAAAACTCCCTCCTTTATTTCAGTGTGGGGGTGCAAAGCTTTACTTCAAGTAAGGAGCCTGGATACCTTCAGCTTTTCCCTTAAATAGGAAATCATGAAAAACAACCACATATCTCGTAATGCTGGTCGCTGGAAGAAAGCACTGAAGACATAGAAATTGTC